AGGGGAGCAGGGTGTCTCACCTCAGCAGGAGAGAACTTGTCTGCCTGGGTCAGGAGAAGCTGCTTGAACCTGAGGAGGGAGAAGGCTTGAACTGAGAGAAAGGGGGCCCTGGGAAGGACTGGTCACCTGCCAAAGTATAGTGAAGGCCGGAGACAGATAGAGGACCCACCTCACCACCCTCTTGGTTCTCCTGGGGTGCCCGCCCCAGCGGATGGAAAAACCTCACTTACTCGTCCTTGTTCACCACCCCCTGGCCGCTGGGGTCAAACATTCGGAAAGCGCTCAGAATGGCTTCCTCAGGGTCCGTCCCTGGGGGCGGAGGCAGCCAGGTGAACTGTCACGTTCCGGCCTCTAGGCCCCACCCAGGGAGAACTTGTAGGGAGCTGGGATCTTTCCTGGAGGGCGCTGATGGAGGGGACAGTGAGCATGTGGGGCTGAAGGGCTGAGGCTACATCAAACGAGTTAAGGTAAGGTAGGGTAGATGAGAGGGGACAGGAGAGGTGTGGAGGGGCGCAGGGGTTGACCCCACAGAATGTTTCTCGAGCGATCAAAAGGGTTGGCTGGCCTGACTGGGAAATCAGAATTGGGATTTGGAAGTGGATGTTCTTCTGAGTCCAAGTCAGCCTAGGATGCTCCACATCCTCTGGGTCGACCATGGCCAGGCAGGGTCCACATCTCAGGTGAACCTTACATGGGCCTCAGGGGGTCAGGTTTGCTTTACAGATGGCTAAGGAGGCTGACTGGATACCGACTCACCATTGAGTTTCTCCCCAAAGAGTGTGAGGAAGACCGTGAAGTTGATGGGGCCCTTCCCTTCCTGCAGCATGGCATCCAGCTCCTCCTCTGGGACGCTTACCCGCCCTAGGAGGGTAGGACCTGAGGTGACCCAGGCTGCCCAGCCTGCTTTCCGGGCAGCTCCAGCTGTGGGGCTGCTGGGGGATGGGGATGTGTGACTGTACTGAGGGACATGTAAGGAGGCTATGTATGAGATAGAAGGCAGGCCACTGTCCTCTCTCTGAGCAGGCTGCTGAGGAGGAGAATGAGATCAGCCCCTGGGAGGTGGGCCCGTGGATCCACTCACCGAGCTGGGAATAGGTCTCCTTCAGGTCTGACTTGCAGATGATGCCGTCTCGATTCTGGTCAATGCAGCTGAAAGCCTGTGAGGAAAGCCTTCGGGTGGGCGCTACTACTCCCTCTCTTCCAGGGGAGGCAGGAGGTGAGGGAGAAGATTGGAGGGAGGACCCCTGACCCCCCCCCCCAGAAGAGAGGTGTGGAGTGGGTGCCCCTGCGTGAGAGGCTGTTGGAGATCCGCGGTACTCACTTCCTTGAATTCCTGAATCTGGGCTTGTTCGAACATTGAGAAGACATTGGAAGAGCCACGTTGGGCCTGCTTGGTGGCTGCAGCCTTGCCCCGGGTCCCAGCCTTCCTGCTGGCCTGTAATACTGATGGTGAGAGGGGTCCCCTCTCCAGTTCTGCAAAGTCCCCCTCCTGACCAAGGTTGTGCCTCAGGGCACAACCAGGAACGCCAGGGTGAGGGACCTTTCTCCACCCCTAGAGATCACTTCCCTGAGCCCAGCATGGGCACAGAAGTCCCCGGCTCTGCCCTTCTGCGGAGCAGAGACTGGCACCTGGGTGTGACTAGTCTTCTGTCCGTCCGTTCGTCCCCCCACCCCCTGCCCAGCACTCACCATGATCTGCAGTGGTCTGGCTGTGTGATCTTGTCACAGGCTCTTTATGTCTCAGCCTTATCACACCCAGAGATCCAAATAAGGAGAGGAATGGATGACGGGGCTAAACTTGGAAGCCCCCACTGGGAGAGGAAGACAAGGCCCCCAAGCAGATCCCATTTACACTCCTGGTGACCTCCAGGCTCCCAAGTGTAACATCCTGGGATCCATCAGCTCTTGTGGCCAGGTTCCATGCCTTCCCTGGGCAGAGAGGACCAAAACTTTTACAGTTCCCGATCATGTTGTAGGGTCCCTGTGACCCCTCGTCTACCATCCCTCCTGCAAATCCAGGCTGGACCTTGGCTAACGCCATCATCCTTACTCTTCAGACTTAGGATGCAGTGCGTGTTTCCGAGGATGGTCTCTGGCCTGAATCCTCTGGGTTGGATGAAAAGCCTGAGCTCTGTCTGCTGCCCTGTTGGTAACAGACAGACAGACGGACAGCAGTTCTGAGCTCTGGCCGCTGCCCTGCTGATAACAGACGGACAGACAGCAGTTCTGAGCAGGCTGTGAGCCCCACAGAACCAGGTGCTTGGTTTGGGGTAACTCAGGAGTGAGGTGGCAGGTCCATGGCTGCTCTTTCACATTCAGACCTGTGCTGTCGCACCTGCCCTGTGAGACACTAGGTCCCACCCTGTTTGGGGCCTTGCTGTTCATAAGCTCCATTTCAACTCCATGTTCTAACCCCTCAGAAAACTCTCTCTGTCATTCCCAACTGAGAGCTGTAGCCTACTCCAGAACACACATCTGGAATCCAGAGGACCTGGCACATGGCGGGCCTGTGTGATGCTGTTTTGTGGGAAAGTTTTGGAGCATAGTGCCTCCTGGGGTTCCCATGAAAAGTGGCTCACAGGTCCCATCTAGTGGTTCTAAATTTTTTTTTTTTTTTCTGAATGAAACAGAGAACAGCTGCCTTTGACCTGCTGGGTAGTTCCATTGAGAAATAAATGTACATTAAAATCACACAAGTCTATGTTTACCTGCAGGTGTGTTTATGCTACATAGAAAAGGCATTAAGCCCTGTAGTGATGTCACCTACCAGAGTTCTCCTCTGGAGGGACCTTAGAAACTGTGTGACATCACACAGCCCTGGCTCTTAACACCCCCCCCCCTCGTTGCATCCTCCATGGTTCTGAGGAGACAGAAGGCCGCTGAGACAAACCTACAGCTGGATCAGCCCCCACTCCCAACCAGAGCAGCGTCAGACCTGGCCTTCCCGCTCTCTACCTTCCACATGTTGCAGGGGTGACCAGGGGCCTGGGCCCAGCAGAGGGCTATTCAGTGCCTGGAGTGTCTCCGCATCACCTCATTCCCATTCCTACAGCCTACCTCTCACACTCCCCTGGGCAGAGTGTCCGGAAGGCACAGCAAATTCCGAGACACAACCAAGTTTAGGGAGTACCTGTGTACACCAGTGATGTTTCTTTGTATGACCTTATGCACAGAGGTCAAAGAACAATGACAGGCCATGTTGAAGTATTTTAAAATATTTAATTAAAAACTCCCCCACAGTCCCAGGTTGGCATGGAGAGGGTGGCATGATATTTGGGGAGGGGGAGGGAGAGAGGGGCCTGCCTGGGTAGTCTCTTGGAGGGATACTGAGGGTGGCTTGCTTTTCCTCCTGGGTCAGGGATTCGAGTGTCGAAGACGCCATCCTGCTCGAAGGAGGAGGAGCTCCTGATAGTGCAGAGTGAGGCTTCCCCTTGCTGGTCCCTTTAGGACAGGAACTCTGGGGCTCTATCCTCTGGCATCTCCTGGGAGGGTTCATCCCAGAACCATAAGTCACTCAGGGGTAGAGGTATATGAAGGAAACAGTCTCTTTGGGGTGTTTGCGGCCTGGAAAGTCCCCTCCATGCAGCTGGACAGTCAGTTTCCCACAGCTCCCCAGCCTCTTGGGTCACAGGCAAGAAAACAGCCAGGCTTGGGTGAGCAGCAGCCCTTGCTCTCTGGGGAGCCCAGGTCTGGTCTGACCAAGCTGCTGGAGCTATCTCCCGATGCAGGGTGTGTTCTCAGGGAAGCCAGACCATTGCAAGGTCCAGAGGCACACCCTTGGGAGACCAGGGAGGCCAGGCCCAGAGCTGTGAGAGGCAAGAAGTGTGAAAATGCAAGTCCTGAGTGTGCAACGCCTTTCTCTGTAGTTGATTGTAACAAGAAAGGCTTTGGTGCCTCTGATCCTCTTCCTCTTCCCAGCCCCCTGCCCCAGGTTGAGAGTCCTAGCGCTGTCCCACGTGACTGACTCTGCAGAAAGGCCTGCTCGGCTTGCAGGGGCCTCTCCCCATATTCCAGGGATAGCAGCAGAATAGATCTTCTGCCCTGGTGGGCTGGCAGCATCTGTAAGGGTGTCGAGTCCCCATAGAGCCCAGGTCCCTGTCCTTGTGGCCTGGATTTCACTGGCCCAGCATACAGGCCTTCTTGCAGGCCACCGCAGAGACCAGCGCTGCTCCCCTGCCGCTACCCTCCTCCGATTCGATGAAGGTGATTTCGCAGTTGGGTGTCAGCCTGCGCACACTGGCGTGGAACCGCTCCTTGAAGCTGAGCAAGAGGAAAATAAGGCTGTCACTTCTCCTCCCAGCCTTTAGACCGCACCCTTGCCACCCATCCATTTACCGTAGGCTACCCGACTGTAGCATCCTCGCGGCATCCAGGCCTAAGGGGAGCCTGGCGGGAAGGCTCACATCTGCCTGGACCTGAGAGCAGCGCCCTTTGGGCCTCCCTTTAGTAGGGAGAGATTGGACCCGGCAGGTAAGGTGGAAACTGACCTAGGGTGCAGCTTGTACACGGAGCCATCCACGCCCACCGTGATGCGCATCACGTCTTCACTACGGCTTTCGCGCATGCGATTTATGACCCCCGCGAGTCCGGCTGAGCACATGTGGGCGGCGCGCGTGGACACGCTCTCACAGGCACGGCGCACAATGTCGCAGTCGGTGACCGAGGGCCGAAGCCCTAGAGTGCTCAGGATGTTGTGGATCTGCTTGCGGTCGCCTGAGTCGCTGCGGGCAGGATGGGGGACGGAAGTCACTGGGGGTCCCCGAGGAATGGGACCAGCAGTTGTTTGGTCAGCACTGCATTCTCTCTATAGTGAGGGTGACCATGCCACAGTCTCCAGGCTGTGGCACGGATGAAGTGGAGGCTGTGGCTGCTCGTAGTGGGGAGAGAGTCAGTGGACAGGTCTCGGCTTGACTAGGGGGCGGGGGCATTGGACCTGGCTCCATGTCTCCCTGTGCCCCTGACCTATAATCCTCTGCTTCCCCTAGGACCCTGGTCCATTCCTCTGTGTCCCTGAGGCCACCTCTGTCCCCACCCCATTCCTCCTCCTCCCGGACCCCGCCCCTGGTCCTGCCCCCTCCAGGCACCTCTCCACCTGCGACACAAAACGGGTCTCGAAGGCGCCACGCGTGCGCAGCTGCTCCGAGGCTTCTCCGTGGAACAGAAGATTCTCGTCCACCAGCTTGAGCAACACAAGTCGTACCAGCTCGCCCATGTACTTCCCACCAATGAGCTTTTCGTACCTGGGTACAGAACAGTCGGTTATGCCAGCTGGCCCTGGGGAAATCCCCACAGGTCCCATTCCGGTTAGGAGGTGACCACATGGGGGCACCGTGATTCCTTTCTCATTCCCGCACCCAAGCCATTATCCAAGGTCCTGGCCCTATGCCCTGCCTCCCACATTTGTAAACAGAGGCTTCAGAGGTCCTAAGAACACGCACATTTTTAACCCTGCTGCTGGCCTGGTATATGAGAGGGACATTGAGTTGAGGAGCCTCTGTGGTCCCGAAATCTTACTGGCGGCAGGCCTTGTGTGAGCGCACAGTCTGGGACATTAGTCCTTCCACAGGACGTCATTCTCATTGGCTCGCAGGGTTGGTGCCTGGCAGGGCACATGGCAGCCCTGGTATATTTTTGCCTAATCTGTGAGCCTCCATATTTCATCTTGAAATCCAACAGCTATGAATGACCTAACAGAGGCCTGGGAGGGTCTGAGATGAAACTCATTAAGTAGTTAACGTGAGAGTGGTACCATGTAGGTGGCTAGCCTGTAATAGGCACAACTCATCTTATGTATTTATTTACTTTCTTTTGAGACTAGATCTCACTATGTAGCCATGGCTACCCTGGAATTTGCTATGTAGTCCTGGCCGACCTGGAACACAAAGAGATCTGTCTGCCTCTGCCTCCCAAGTGCTGATCAAAGGAGTGCACCATGTCATGTGGCCATAGCCACGATTCAAGACAAGCTCTGTGCAGCTGGTTCCCAAGATGTGTTCTGCCAACGTACAACACCCCCCCCCCCAAATGCTAATATTCATTTTGTGGGACTGGCATACATATGTACTTTGGGGGATTCTGGTTTAAACCAGATAAACCTTGCAGGTCTTTCAGAGCTGTCTCTGGTGGGAGGCTCCCTATCAGGGTAGAGAGGTAGGACTTTCCACTAACCACCATGACTGACACCTCCACACCTCACAGGAGCAGACTGTGGCGGAGCTGAAGAAAAGAGCCAGCTCACAGAGGGGCCGACAGTGTGCTTCTCCTCAGAGCTCTTATAAACCAGCTGTTACGCTCTGTGACCCGGCTGAGGTGTGCCAGGCAGGAGCAGCCCCAGGGGTGGGCTAGGAGGGTGGGGCATCCTTACAGTTGCTGACCGGGGTTCGCTGAGCTTTCGTCCACCATTCGGTCGTACTCCAGCAGGAACTCATCCAGCTCGCCTGAGTCCCCAAAGGCGCCCCACTCAGTGTTGACACACATGCGCCCCTCATCCCCTTCTACCAGCTCCACATTCTGCATCTCCTCCATGTAGCAGGCGTTGCAGCCCGTGCCTGCAGGGATGGGACACATAAGGCTATAAGAACCGGGGGCCGGGCGGTGGTGGCGCACGCCTTTAATCCCAGCACTTGGGAGGCAGAGCCAGGCAGATCTCTGTGAGTTCGAGGCCAGCCTGGGCTACCAAGTGAGTTCCAGGAAAGGCGCAAAGCTACACAGAGAAACCCTGTCTCGAAAAATCAAAAAAAAAAAAAAAAAAAAAAGAACCGGGGGTGGAAGCTGGAAGGCTGGAGCGGCTGTGTACTGCAGGGTAGATGAGTCAGTCTGGGGACTGTCCTCTAACAAGGGTGGCATCCCCACTCTTTCTCTGGGTAGTCAGGGGAATGGAGAAAAAACAAGGTGTGCCAATGTGGTTTGACACCTGGAAATGGATTTGGGGTGTTGTTTTATTTTTATTTATTTATTTATTTTAAAAACTTTTATGTATATGAGTGTTTTGTCTACATGTATGTTTGTGCACCACAGACATGCCTGCCCGGTGCCCATAGAAGCCAGAGGAGGGTATAGATCCCCTGGAACTAGAGTAATAGACACTAGTGAGCCATCCTGTGGGTGCTGGGAATCGAACCCAGGTCCTCTGGAAGAGCAGCAAATGCTCTTGACTGCTCAGCCGTCTCCCCAGCCCCTTGTTGTCTAGCACTTTGTAGGCACATCTTTTATATTTTTGGTTGTGAGCCTAGCCTTTAACGGCTGGCCCATCTCTTCAGCCCTTTGTAGGCACATCTTTAAGTCTCTCTCCTCAGCCCTTTTAGGGGACTCTCAATATCAGTAAGGCAGAGTGTAGGCCCTTGGAGCAGTCCAGAGGCCCCTGCAGGCAGTCCAGAGGCCACTGTGGCAGTCCAGAGGCCACCGCGGCAGTCCAGAGGCCCCTGCAGGCAGTCCAGAGGCCACTGCGGCAGTCCAGAGGCCACTACAGCAGTCCAGAGGT